CACTAGAATAACTAAATATGTAAATATAAATGAACATTGCTTAAAACAATAATAGCATCTTTTGATGTTTAAACATATGTGTAAATAAAATATAGGATAACATTAGAGCAAAAGTCAAGGAGAAAACTATTAGTTCAATCTGGGGCTGAGAATCTGGGGACCACATTGAAATTCAGCCTATCACACCATGCAAACACTCACCAAAAATTAAAAAAAAAATTGTTTTTGGTTCATATTAATATCAGAAAAAGAATTTATGATTTATAAGAGTAGAGATAAAGAATACTACATATTGACAAAAGAGTCAATTCAACAGGAAAATATAACAATATTAAACTTTTTTGTTTGTTTGTTTGTCCTTTTTGAGACCGGCCGCACTGCGCTCAGCCAGTGAGTGCTGTGAGCGCACCGGTCATCCCTATATAGGATCTGAACCCGCGGTGGGAGCGCTGCTGCGCTCCCAGTGCCGCACTCTCCCGAGTGCACCATGGGCTTGGCCCACAATATTAAATTTTTATGCACTAAATAATATAGCCTCAAAATATATAATCATTGATAGAAATAAAAGAAAAAAGGTAAATACACAATCACAGTTGGAGATTTGAAGACACCATTCTTGGTGGCTCACAGGACAAGCAAAAAGTAAATGACTTAGAATAGGGAAGATTTACAAAACATTATTAACCAACTTGATCGAATCAATATTTATACAACATTACATCTAACTGCAGGCTTTTCAAATGAAAATTCTTACTTCCACATTATTTTCAATTGAATATTGAACATTACCCAAAATAGACCAGAGACTGGACCATAAAGTAAATCTCAACAAGTTTGTAATGATTGAAATAATGCAGTGTGTTCTTTGACCACAGTGTATTTAAGCTAGAAATCTATGATATATAATAAGAAAATACACAAATGCTTTAAAACTAATGAATATACTTCTACATAACCAAAGGTCAAGGTAGAATGATAATGAGCTCAGAAAATACTTGTTATCAAATGACACAAAAAATGCAACATATCAAAATCTGTGAACAGAAAAAGTAATACAAAATGGATTGCAGGCATATACACAAAATCTAAAACCATATACTTTCTAGAAGAAAACATAGGAGAAAAAAACTTCAGAATCCTAGGTAAGGTGAAGATAGAACCAAAAAGGTATTATCCAGAAAAAAGAAATGATAAATTAATATCCATCCAAATCAGAAATGTCTGCTCTTCAAAAGACAACACTAAGAAAATTTAGGTCCTAGGCAAGGAGCTATGGGCCACAGCCCCCTCTACCTGGAAGCAGGCAAGAAAGCATGCCCAGCCTCTAGGATAAGAACTGAGGGCCATAGCCTTCTCCACCCAAAAGCAGGCAAGCAAGCATGACAAAAACACCAATTCCACATGGGTGGCCCACCATAGCCATGGCTGTGGCAAAAGCAGCTCAAAGCCACAGCAGTGGCAGCCACCATAGAGGTGGCCCACTGGTCCCTTGACTGCATTAACACAAGAAGAGTCATCAGAGGAGACCAGAAAGGAGAGGATGTCTCTGTCCTCAAAGCCCACTCCAGAGTAATAGAAGCAACTGCTCCATCAGATGACCAGACGTCAATGTAGAGATACTACAAATATGAAAAACCAAGAAAATATGATGCTACCAAAAGAATACAGTAATTCTCAAATACCAGACCCAATAGAGCAGGAAACTCTAGAAATGACTGAAAAGGAATTCTGAGCAACAATCTTAAGGATACTCACTAAGATATGAGAAGACTCAGACAACATAATGAAATGAGAAAAAAAATCCAGGGTATGAAGGAGGAAATTTACAAAGAGATTAATAACTTTTAAAAGAATGTAACGGAACTCATGGAACTGATTCACTCAACAAAATAAAAAACACAAGTGATAGCTTAAACAGTACGTTAGAACAAGCAAGAGAAAGAATTTCTGATCTTGAAGATAGTCTTTTCAAAATAACCAAGGTGGACAAAAAAAAAAAAAAAAAAAAAAAAAAAAAAAATTTAAAAAAAAAAAAAAAAAAAAAGAAAACCTCAGACAGCTAGCAGACAACCTGAAGCACACAAATATTCGAATCATGGGTGTTTCAGAAGGGAAGGAGAAAGGAACAGGCATGGAAAACCTATCCAACAAAATAACAGAAAACTTCCCAGGTATAGGGAGATACATGGGCCTTCAGATCCAGGAGACTCAAAGATCCGCAGATTCAACCCAAAAAGATCCTCTCCAAGACACATTATAGTCAAACTGGCAAAGCTCAAAGACAAAAAGAGTCTTTTTAATTTTATTTTTATTTTTACTTATTAAGAATATTCATGAGATACAAAGCTAATTGTCACCCCTCCTGCCCATGATGTGAGGGCCAGATTCACGCTGGGGGCAAACCCACCACCAGAAATTACCTTTGCACCCCTGAAAAGAGAGTGTTAAAAGAAGCAAAAGAAAAGCGTCAAGTCACCTTTAAGGGAGCCCCTATCATAATATAACAGCAGACTTCCAACAGGAACTCTACTGGCCAGAAGAAAATGGATGATATATTCAAAATATTAAAAGAAAAAAATTCCAGCCAAGAATACTACATTCATCTGCGCTATCCTTCAGAAATGAGGGAAAATAGTGTATTTTCCAAACAAAAACTGCAGGAATTCACCACTAGACAACCAGCCCTACAAGAAATCCTCAAGGAAGTCCTACATCTACAATCAGAAAAATGATAATCACTACCACAAATACACAAGAAAGAACAAAACCCATTGGTAGAACAAAAATGTAAATGAGAAAGAGAAACAAACTAAGACCACCACAAAAAGCCATACTGACAATGTAATAATGCCTCTCCTTTATTTTTGACTTTAGTAATTTCAGTCTTCTCTCTTTTTTCTTGGTCAGTCTAAAAGGTTTGCAAATTGATATTTTTAAAGAATCAACTTTTGGCCTTGTTGATTTGTTTTTTAATTCCCTATTTCATATATTTCTGTTGTAATGTTTATTTCTTACTTATATTTGCTTTTGGTTTAGTTTGCTCTACTTTTTCTATTTTTTTAAGGCAGAAGTTTACATTACTGACTTGCGATTTTTCTTTTCTTATTTTTAATATAGGTGTTTACACAAATAAATTTTCCTCTAAGCACTGCATGAGCCCTGCATCCTATAAATTTTGATATGTTGTGCTTTGATCTTTATCTAAAGTACTCTATAATTTCCCTAAGATTTTTCTTTTTGCACATTATTTAGGAGAATGTTGTTTAATTTCCACACATTTGTGAGTTTTCTAAATTTCCTTGTTATTGTAGTCAGAAAACATATTTTCTAGGATCTTAGTCTTCAAAAAAAAGGAAAAATTTAAAGAAACAAAAAGTTCATGGGAAGACTTCCATTATCTTTCAATTCTATTTTTCTACAAAGTTTTTGAAGTGCCCTTGTATTCTATTGTTTTATTGATTTTTAATGCAATTTATATTGCTAAATGTAGATATTTAATTTCCATTCTTGATTTCTTTTTATTAAGTGGACTTACTGATTTGCTTAGAAATTAATTTGCCATTGAACGTTATTCATCTTCCTCTGTTGAAATTAATTTGATATTTGCATGCTTTTGGGAGACTTTACAGAGCTATTTCAAACTGTAGAGATTATAAAATGAAACATATAAATTAAAAAAATTTAAATGAAGCTGAAAACTGAGAGAAAATATTTGCAATATACCTATTTGATAAAGGACTTGTATTCAGATTATGTAGGGAACACTTACAACTAAATAGTAATACTTAAAATGGGCAAGAAATTTAAACAAATTCTTCACAAAAGAGAGATAAATTGCCCTTAAGCACATGAAAAATGTTCAACCTAATTAATCATAAGAGAAATGCAAACTAAAACCACCATGAAGCATTACTACATGCATTAAAAGTTAAAAAAAATTTTTTTTAAATACTGATAGTACCCAGAATTAGCAAGACTAGGAGTAACTGGAACACCCATACGTTGTTTGAGGGTTGGAAAATGGTACAAACACTTTGGAAAACAACTAGAGAGGTTCTTATAAAGTTATACATATATATACCATATGATGTAGCAATTCCAAATCTATAAATGTATGCAATATAGAAATGTTTACACATAAAATTGTATGCAAATGTTGTCACAGGTGTTTTTGTCTGTTGAGTGTTGCTGTAACAGAATACTTGAGGCTGGGTAATTTATAAAGAATACTTGAGGTAAACCAAACATAGAGGTTTATTTGGCTCATGATCCTGTTGGCTGCAAAGCCAAAGACTGGGCAGCTGCCTCTGCTGTGGGCCTCATGCTGCATACACCCCGGTGCAAAGTGGAAAGGGAGCAGGCTTGTGCAAAGAGATCACTCGATGACAGAGGGAGCAAGAGAGAGAAAGCAAGGAAGCCACACTCTTTTTAACAACCTGTTCTTGCAGGAAGTAACTTTTTCCTGGGTGAGAACTCACTTACCTCTGTGGGAGGACATGAATCTATTCATAAGGGATTTGCCCTTATGGCCCAAACACCTCCCAGTAGGCCCCACCTCCCAACACCATCACATTGAGAATCAAATTTCAACAAGAGTTTTGGTGGGGCCAAACCACATCCAAACCACAGCAGCAGGTTTATTCTTGATAGCATCAAACTGAAAACAACTGAAATGTCTATCAATGGCTAAATGAATAAACTGTGGTATATTAATACAATGGGATGCTATTCAGAAGTAAAAGAGAATGAAATACTGACACACACCATGTACATGAATCTAAAAACTTTATGCTGATTTGGAGTTGGAGCTCCTAAAAATAGATAAAGACAACTTTGTGCTGAATGAAAGAAGGTAGAGACAGAAGAGTACATACTGTATAATTCCATTTATATAAAGTCTGGAAAAGATACTCTAATCTATATCAACAGAAAGCATATTTATGGCTTCTTGAAGTCAGAAATAAAGCATTGTCCAGGAAAGAATACAGAAAAAATTGGGGGGTGATGAAAACGTTCTTTATTTTGATTGTGATGGTGGCTATACAGGTGTATAAATTTGCTAGAACTCATTACAAGTAAAGTCAAATTGGGTGCAATTTGTTAAATATAAATTATGTCTCAATAAACGTGATAAAAGTCTATTTGATGAAGCTAAATAGGTACTTATCTAGAAATGTATAGGGTTAAATACAAATATTAGCAAAACAGAAACGTTAAATGTCAATTATCTAAGATTTTTTTCCCAAGAAACTAGAAAAATAGTGAATCATACCCAAATAAAGCACATAGGAGGAAATAAAAGAACATGAATCAATAAAAAGGAAATTAGTTGTATGACAGCTCAGAGGTGGTTTTTTAAAACAAAGATTAATGTTAAATCCCTAGAAAGCCTAATCAAGAAAACAAAAAGAGAGTACACAAATTACCAATACCAGGACTTAAAAAGGAAGCATCACTTTAGATCCTACAGATATTAAAAATTTAACAAGCAGATATTATGAAGTACTTAAGGCCAGTTATTAAATATTCTGATAAAATGATATGAAAAAAATTTTTAAAAACTTTTCAAAAGTTACATGAGATAGAAAATCTGAATAATCTTATGAGTACCAAAGTAATTGAGCCCATACTTTAAAACTTTCCTACAAAGAAAACTCCTGTCCCAGATGGTTTCACTGGTGATTTTTACAGAAAATATTTATGGCAAAAATAATAGCAACATCAATAATGCCTATCTTACACAAACACTTCCAGAGGACCAAAAACAAAAACACAAAAATAAAAAAAGCAAAACAAACAAAAAAAAGAATTCTCAATTCATTTTATGAGCCCACAAATATCCTGATATGAAGCCTGACAAGGCTATTACAAGAAAAAAAATATGAGATAATATGAACATAGACATAAGATCCTATATAAAATATCAATAAATTGAATTCAACAATATATATTTTAAAAATACATAATGACCAAATTGAATCTACTCCAGGAATGTAAAGATGCTTTAACGTTCAAAAACCAATCCATGTAAATGAACTTTGAGGACATTATGCTAAATGAAAAAAGCCAGTCACAAAAGGACAAATACTACATGATTCTACTTATATGATACCTAGAGTGTGAAATTCATAAAGACAGAAAGTAGAATGGTGGATTGCTGGAGTAGAGGGGGCGGTGGGGAATGGGAAGTCTAATGCGTTGAGTTTCTGCTTTGCAAGATAAAGAGCTCTAGAGGCAGATGGTGGTGGTGGTTGTGCAATATGACTTAATACAACTGAACTGCATGCATAATAATGGCTAAGATGGTAAATTTTATATTATGTGTTTTTTATCACAACTTGGAAAATTTGAAAAAATCAATACATATAATTCAAGCATATTAAAAGAATGACAAAAGCCATAATTATCTGAATAGTTGCAAAAAATGTATTGATGAAATTCAACAACTTTCTATGATAATCAACTCCAGAAAAAGAGGATTTGAGAGGAACTTCCTTAATTTGACAGAGGTTATACTGTAGCAACAATCAGAAAATGAAACTGAAATAACAGCATTTATAACCTCAATAACATCAACTATATTTGACTAATCTAACAAAATTTCAATAATTGAAAAATACAACAAAACCTTTACAACTGAAAAAATGTAAAATTTCTACAATGCAAAAATACAAAAATTGATGAATTAAAATATCTCTATAAATGAAAAGGCAGATGTATCGTGCTCATAGACTGGATGTCACAATATTGATAAGGTGTCCATTCTTCCAAAATTAATCTATGTATCTGATGTAATGCCAATTAAAATCCCAGCTTTTTGGTGTGGGGTAATAGGCCAAACAAACAAAAACCATTAAAAATGGTATAGGAAAATACCAAGGACCTAGAATAGCAGTGACAATTTCAAATAAGAACAAAATTAAAAAAACACATACTACCATTTTTCATTAAGAACACTTAGTATTAATAGTAAACAAGCAGAAAAATGGAACAGAATAGTCTAGAAGAACCTCATATATATGATCATCGGATTTATCATAAATGTACCATTACAACCCAAGAGAGGAAGATGATCTTTTCAGTAAATGATGTTGAATAAATTGTATATTTGTATGAAAATATTGATTTTTGACCTCCACCCTATGCCATACATAAAAATTAATTTCAGATGGACCATAGACATAAAAGTGGAAAGTAAAACAGTAGATATGCAAAAGAGAGTTTAGGAAATTATCTTTATAACCTTTAATTAGGAAAAGATTCCTTAAACTGTGCAAAAAAGCAATAATCATAGAAGGTAATTATCAAAATTAATTATTATTCATCAAAAGACATCATTTAGATAGTAAAAAGGCAAGCTGCACATGGAGAGATGATATCTGTAATACAAACCCCTAAAATATAGCTTGTATCTGGAGTATATAATGAATCCTACAAATGAACAAAAAGTCAGATTTCTCAGCTTAAAAAATGGGCAAAGGTCTTGAATAGGCAATTTGCAACAAGATATTCAAAAAGCCATAAGTACCTAAAAGGGGGCTCAACATTATTAGCCACTGAGGAAATACGTATTAAACCTATAATGAGATACCAGTACACACTAGAACCAGGCTTTGGCACCTTACCACTCCATTGAAACTGCTCTAATCAAGATGGCCTGTGTCATTCCCATCTCCTAACCCAACGGACACTATTCAGTTCTTATGTTATTTGAACCTGTTGACCATGCTTCTCTTCTTTAAATATTTGCCTCCAAGGCAGAAAGGGGAGGCAGGGTTTAGATGCGGTTAAGATTAGGAGGCAGAAAGGGGCAACCATCAGAGCTGACATATGTCAACTGCTTGACAGCAGGGCTTAAGAGTAGTATTTCAGGGTCTGACCCCCAAACTTTTCAGTCAGAAAGTGGTACACTAACTACATACAAAGATCATAAGTCTCTTAGTAATAGTTAATAAATTTCACTATTAATATTTAATCAGAAATGGTAATTTTAACCACAATGTCAAATTATTCACTTATAATGTGAGACAGTTCATATTATTCATCCAATATTCCCTTCCCAGTATTAAATACTACTTATCCTGGCATGGTGGGAAGGGTATTTAATCTTATTTCCTTAGCCTCCTCTGAAGTGCAGCTCATCACACCTTGTTCTTTTTAATATCAGGGTCATGGTCTGGTAGGGCATTCTGGTATCAGGGCCACAGTCCCTGAGTTCCCATCTTAACTCCAGACCTCTCCTAGTATTCGCAGAATTTCCAAGCCCTTATTTATAGCCTTGGAGTTCTTGGCTGTTTCCCCTCTGTACACTTCATCACGCAAGGTTCTGAGGCTGTATGCAGGCCTATCTGCCAAGACACCTACTTTTGCCATTGTGACCTTTCTTTTTGTGTCATGTCAAAAGTGAAACTTCTTTCTGAGGCTTGTGATCTTCTGGTCTACAGACTGGACACAAGTTCCAGATATTCTTGGATACATTTTTCATTAATCTGCAATTTCCATCACCTCCTCCAAATGAAACTTCATGGGGTGGGAGGAATGAGGTGCTGGGTAACTTCTTTGGAATCCAGGCAACATCAGAACCAATTCTTATGCTCTCAGATCCATGAGTGCTCCTCCCCCAGCAATGTAGAGCCAGCATTTAGGGTAGTTCCAAGGACACAGTGGTGTCCAATAAATTAGCTTCACAAGAAAAAAGGTTTCTCCCTTTTATGTAAATATTACATGCTCATTTTAAAGAAAAACTTTAAAACACAGAAAAGCACAGAAAATACAGTCAAACAAACAGAAAACACCTGATGCTCCACCAACCCTGAAACAACCATCATTAGCTTTTTGGAGACCATCAGTTCATTCATCTCTCTCAAAAGTTCACATAAATACATAACATTACATATACATTTTTACACCATACATGCTGCTACATTTACATTTTCCATATTTATATTTGTCTCCCTTCCCCCTTATCCCAACTTCTTTTCTCCCTCCCCTGCAGTAACCAATATTAACAGCCTGGTGGATATTCTCCCATACCTGTCTCCACACACATCTAATCATGTACACACATAAATACATAATACATGGTTGTGATCATTACTTTAACAAAAATGAAATCTTGAATACATACAGCTGTTATAAAGCAATTATTTACCTAAACATTATGAAAACCCATTGAAATCAGCTAGTATAGATAGCTAAATTATGCTAAAGCATAATATGGATATATCAAAATTTATTCAACCATTCCCCTATTAATGGACATTCATTTTGTTTCCAGTTGGGGCCTTTTTTCCCTCTCCACAAAAAGTACTTCAACAAACATCTTTACTTGTATTCTTATGCATTGATGCTGCTTTTATTTCTATGGACAGATTCCCAAAAGATTCCTGGATCAATGGGTATACATATCGTAAATTTTAAAATATATATTGCCACATTGCTGGTGGAAATATAAGTTATACAACTTTTAAGGAAGAGTACATGGTTTTTTTCAAGCCCTACTAGCAAAGGGTCTCTTAATTTTTGCCAACTCCATGAAGTTGAAGTTCCATTTAATTGGTCATTTTAATTTGCATTTCCCTGAGTACTATTTAGGCTCCAAATCTTTTCATAGGTTAATGGCCATTTGAATTGCTCTTCTATGAAGAGCCATCCAGTCAGTCCAGATGAATTAGAGACTTAAGTATAAAATATAAAACTACCAAAACATTAGAAACAAATTTAGGATACTCTGTATAACCAACGGATTAAAAAGACTCCTTTTAATTAAAAAGAGTAAATCAAGAATCTAAAAAGGAAAAACATTTTACTATAAAAATAAAAATGTGACTTTACTATATAAAAAATATAAAGACAAATGCTAATTAAGAAAAACATTTGCGGCACAAATAACAAAGTATTATTAGCTAAAATATATTTTAAAAGCACCTCAACATTTATAAGAAAAGACAGGTAAACCAATAGAAAAATAGGCAAATATATGTATTGGCAATTAACTGCAGATAATTTGCTGAATGAATATGAAATCTAAATGAAGGCTTTCATTTGTCAATTACTTTTCTGTAGTGTGAATGTTCTTACAACTTCTAAGATTTAATATGATTAAATGCTTTTCCACATTAACTATGCTTGCAGAGTGTCTCTTTAGAGCATATTTTCTGGTGAATTTCTCTTGACAATTTCCCCACATTTATAAAATACAGCTTATAAGACACTTCTTACAGAGTTGATAGCTGGATAAATGACTGTTCTCTATATTAACTGAGTCTCTCTCTGATGTATTCTTTGATGTACAGTAAGGCTTGAGCTACTCCTAAAGGCTTTTCCACATTCATTACATTTATAGGGTTTTTCTCCAGTATGCATCCTCAGGTGTACAGTAAAATCTGAGTTAGTTCTGAAGGCTTTTCCACATTCTTCACATTTATAGGGTCTCTCCCCAGTATGAATTCTCTGATGTAGAGTTAGCTGTGACAGAGTAATACAACCTTTTCCACATTCCTTACAGGTATAGGGTTTTTCTCCAGTGTGTGTTCTCCAATGCACAGTAAGGTATGAACCCCTCCTGAAGGCTTTTCCACAGACATCACACTTATAGGGTTTCTCTCCACTATGGATTTTCTGATGTTCTGTGACATGTACCATCTGGCTAAATGCTTTCCCACAGTCATTACATTTAAACGGTTTTTCTCCAGTATGTGTTCTCTGATGGGTATTAAAGCCTGAGTTACTTGTAAAAACTTTCCCACATTCATTACATTTATAGGGTTTCTCTCCAGTATGCCTTCGTTGATGCACAGTAAGCTGGGATGTATTAGTGAAGGCTTTCTCACATTCATTACATTTATATGGTTTTTCTCCAGTATGGGTCCTCTGATGCACAATAAGGTATGATTTTGTCCTGAAGGATTTTCCACAAACATAACATTTATAGGGTTTCACTCCAGTATGAATTTTCTGATGCTCCTTGAGATTTACCATTTTGGTGAATGCTCTCTCACAGTCGGTGCATTTATATGGTTTTTCTCCAGTATGAATCCTCTGATGTACAGTTAGGTGTGACTTTATTCTGAAAGATTCCCCACATTCATTACAAAGATAAGGTTTCTCTTCAGTATGAATACGCTGATGTATAATTAGAGATGAAGAACGCATGAAGGCCTTTCCACATTCATTACATTTATAAGGTTTCTCTCCTGTGTGCATTCTGTGGTGCACAGTAAGACATGAATAATTAATAAATGCTTTCCCACATTCATTACATTTATAGGGTTTTTCTCCTGTATGAATTCTCTGATGTTCTGTGAAATTTGCTATGCGATTAAATGCTTTCCCACATGCATTACATTCATAGGGTTTTTCCCCAGTATGAGTTCTTATATGTACAATAAGGCTTGAATTACTTCTATAAGCTTTCCCACATTCATTACATCTAAAGGGTTTCTCTCCAGTATGAATTCTCTGATGAACATTAAAAATTGTGGTATTCTTGAAAGATTTCCCACATTCATTGCATTTATATGGTTTCTCTTCAGTATGGGTCTTCTGATGTACACTAAGATATGATTTATTCCTAAAGGCTTTCCCACAATCATTACATTTGTAAGGTTTCTCGCCATTGTGAGTTTCCTGATGTCTTGCAAGTTTTGATTTATCACTAAAAGCTTTCCCACATTCACTACATTTATAGGGTTTCTCTCCAGTTTGAATTCTTTGGTGCTGATTAAGACGGGCACACTGGCTAAAGGATTTTCCACAGACATTGCACTGATAAGGTTTCTCCTTAGTATGAATTCTCTGATGTACCATAAGTGATGAAGAAGCAATGAAGGCCTTTCCACATTCATTACATTTATAGGGCTTTTCTCCAGTGTGAATTTTTTTATGCTGACTAAGATATGAAGGCTGGCTGAATGTTTTCCCACATACATTACATTCATAAGGCTTTTCTTTAGTGTGAGTTCTCTGATGTTGAATGAGTAATGACCTATAACGAAAGGCCTTTTCACATGTACTACATTTATAGGGTTTTTCTTTATTACTGGATTTTTTCCCCAAGGTAAGTTCTGAAGTCTGCCTTATGGCTTTACTGCCTTCTGTATCATTGCTAATTATCTGCCCCAAATGGGTATCTGTAATCAAATCTAAATTTTCTGTGAAATTTTCCTTATGTGTTTGACATTTGCTGTGGGGCTCTTCTGAGATAACTCCTGGTTCCGGAATAAGAACAGATCCAAATCTAAAGCCTCTTTGACCAGTGGAAATTTTCTTGTACATAACTATTCTTTGACTCAAATAACTCTGCTGAGTATTTTGCATTCTCAATATCCTGTCATTCCATTTCCATAATCCTCCCATTCTGGAATCCCATAGATCATTCTTTGTGACTTTCTCCACTATGGCTTCCTGTGATAAATCTTCAGAAATATCCTCTGTTAGTATAATATTCTTTGTTGCACATTTGGTCTCCAAGTCTAGGGGAATAAAAGAGAAAAATCAAGTAACTCCTATTTTTCTAAGCTAAGGAAATCTCACTAAACAGGATAATAAAATGAAAAATGGGCTGATAATGAATATAGTTTTGACTGCTTGAAAATTGACCCTGTTTTCTAGAAAGAAGAAGGTAGGGTTAAGGGAAGCTTGTTGAGCAAAGAACCAGAGTATCAAATTCAATGAGATTTTCCTCTAATAAAAAAATTCATTCATGGTAACCCACTAGATTGTAAGTCTCTAGAATATTCCTTTTCTCATTCCCTTTAGAGCCAACTTCTTTAAAGCATTCCTCATAAATTGACAATACTTCCTTACTTCCCATTTATTCCACAAACCAGATATCTGTCCCCAGCCATAGTTTCTTTCTATTTGTCTCCTTCTTGGTTGACCAGCCTTTGTTATGAGGGCTTTCTCAAATTTCTCTGGCAGAACAGTTAAGACTTTATACATATCTTTTCAAATGACTTTTACGGAAGACCATACTATATAATCAAGAGCAGCTTTTGCTGCTTTTTTATGTACCCAACAACATCTTTGAGGCAGACATAAATTAATTTTTTAAAAAAATTCTACTGTGGGGTGCAGGTCTTACAACTTGCTTGTATATGCAATTTAATATTTTATTTTTAACACTTTTAGACTTTTTAAAATTTCTAATTTGTTTTCAGGTAATTACAGTAAATGTTTACAAACAAATCAGACCAAAACCTCTTGTAGACAGTAGAATGGCTTTATGACTTTAAAACTCATTTTTAATCAAGAAATTTCATCTGTTATTTTGCTTTTGTAAAATTTAATTTTCTCTTTCTATCTTGGGGCCTGTGGGTTGGTAGTTCGGGCCTCTCATAAAAATAAATAAATGAACAAACAAATAAATTGGGGGGGGGACACAACAAAAAGAGGACACAACAATCATAACAATTTCTTGAACTTGTTTAAGACAGTTGAACAGATATGATGTTGACTGGGGGGAGGGGGCAAAGGGAGGAAGGAAAAGGAGAAACTGGTAAAAGGACACAAAACTCAACTACACTGTATATTGATAAATTAAAAGAAAAAAAATATCAAAAAAATTAATTTTCTGTCATGATATTGTTGTTATTTTTAATAATTCTTTTCTTTTACATTTACATAGTTTTAGTTAACTTCAGCATATTTTTTTTGTCCTAGGACATTATATTGCCAATATCTGACAAAAAAAATTTTGTTGTCAGAATAGAAGCTATAGAAAACACATTTATAACATCAATTTGGGATTCAGGAACTAATAAAACATATTAAATGTGAAAAGGAAATGAATTTGAAAAGCAGACAAATTTTCTATAAAATATACTAAAATTATGAAAGCTTTGGGTGCAGAAAAGTTAATTAGAAATTAAAATTTTTCTTCAATAAATTTCCTTGCATAAACTTCATTAATATATGTGAGCCTAAGTTCTCTTCTTTCTGAAGTAAAAGTAAAATGTCAATTTCAAACAACATGAATAAAAAACAGAAAAAAAGGGCTGGCCCGGTGGCGCACTGGAGAGTGTGCCGTCTGGGAGCGCAGCGGCGCTCCCGCCGAGGGTTCGGATCCCATGTGGAGACCGGTTCCCGCTTACTGGTTGAGTGCGGTGCGGGCGCAACACCGAGGGTTGCGATCCCGTTGCTGGTCCTCGGTGCGGGCGCGACACCGAGGGTTGCGATCCCGTTACCGGTCAGTAAAAAAGACAAAAAGGAAAAGGAAAAAAAAAAATCAGAATTACTAAATCATCGTTTTTATATGGTTTGCTGCATAAACATAGAACTAGAACGAAATACAACTAGAATACGGTTGCAACCATTGCAAGTAAGTGAAAAGAAATATTACTATATTTTCTACTATGAAGTCTTTTATTGGATGAATAATTACCTATTTTTCTTAATCAGCTGGGTACAATTGTAAGGATAAATAACTCTCAACCCTTATATCAGATAAGAGAGTTTGGGTCCATATGGATCTTTAATAAGAAAATACACAAAATCTTGTGGATGAGTGTTTACATTCAGTCTCAGTTTTGGAGCCTAACTTAGTGCCTGAGATATTGTAGGCATTTGCTGAATGAATGACTTATACTAACTAGTAAGTCTCAACCTCTGGATGAAGAACCTTTACATAACAATTATAGTATTCTTAGTATCTGGGGTTAAAAACATATATCTTTGCAAAAAAAAAACTCACCGCGCTCAGCCAGTGAGCGCACTGGCCATCCCTATATAGGATCCAAACCCACGGTGGGAGCGCCACTGCGCTCCCAGCGCTGCACTCTCCCGAGTGTGCCACGGGGCCGGCCCCAGACTAAGTAATCTTGACCAATACTATTGCTAAGTACGATTAGAAGAGGTGGACAAAATAAAGAGAAAAAAATCTGTTTGGAAGCCACTAAAAACTGCCAAGGCTTAAAGAGTTACAAGGAGAAGAATGGAACCCAAAAAATGGATCCTAGTACTTGGTGCCATTTTCCCCAACAGATGTCTGCTAATTCTCTAAGAAATGACTGAGAGGCTGAATGGGTACATAGAACTTTTAATAAAACAGACAAAGATCTAAATTTAGGTCCACCAAAGAGAACAGTCCTGGAACCCCTATGTTTTGGATGGAGCCTCAGTGTGATATGCCCTAAGAATAGATGACTAAGAAACAGACCAGCCTGCTCAAGAAATAAAACCCAGCTCATTCAAATTTCTAACTGAATGAAGGTGACTGAGGGTTGTTAGAGCTCGAGCCCCTAGTCTAGAAGTCCACCAAAAGCAAACATAAGTCCTCTGTGGGAAAAATTACATAATTCAGAACCTAAATTATTGCTATAGGTTTTCATAGTCAATGCTTAATAGTCAATCAAAATTAATAGGTATATATACCTATATACAAGGAGACAAAAGTCACATGAGAAAAAAATTAAGAGGAAAAAATAAATAGAAGCAGATCTACAATGAATCCAGATAACTGAGGTCTCAGACATAAACTTTAAAATAACTATAATTATATTCAAGAAAATAAGACAAGATTAACAATTTCACCAAAGAACAGCTGGAAAGTCTAAAATATAAACCAAATGGAAATTCTAGAGATGAAAAATAAATAAAGGACTCATACTATGGGCTAAATACATAGCAGGTACAGTACATAAGAGAGCAAAATAGATGACAGGTCAATAGAAAATATCCATATTGAAGTACAGAATGATGAAAAATTTGAAAACACATTTAAAAAGCACAAGAGACATACAGGATAGTGAAAAAGTCTACCATAAGATGTAGTTAGAGTCCTAGAAGGCTAGAAAGAGAAATGAGAGAGAATAAACAAAATCAAATTCAAAGAAATAATGTCCAAGAATTTTCCAAGACAGATTAAAAAAAGTCACAAATTTTAGAAGCCAAAGGAACCTCATGCATGAGAAATACAAAGATAATTATACTAAAACACACAGTAGTAAAAATGTTGAAAACTAAAATCTTAAAAGCAGCCAGAGAAAAAAAGATTTCTTTCAAGGGGCAACAATTAGAGGTTGCCAACTACAGCCAAATCTGGCCCATTATTTGTTTTCATGTGGCCAGTGAGATAAAAGTGGTTTCTACATTTTTAAATGGTTGAAAAATATATCAAAACAATGATATATTGTAGAACATTAAAATCATATAAAATTCAATTTCAGTGTCCATAAATGAAATTTTAGTGGAATACAATCATGATCACTGGTTAATATATTGACTATGACTGCTTTTGGGCTACAATGGCAGAGTGAAGTAGTTGCAACAGAGACCTTACAACACCACAAAGCCTAGAATATTTGCTGTCTTGCATTTATATAAAGAGTTCGCTGACTTCTGGTTCACTTCTCAACAGAATCTATGTAAAATAGGAAACGATGAAATGATACCTTTAAAATATTGAAAGAATATGACTGCCAATCTAGAATCCAGAACTTACCAAAAATATCCTTCAAAAAGGAAGGTCAAATAAAGAAATTTTAGCAAAAATAAAAAAAAAAGAGAGAGAGAATATGACACAAACATACCTGAATAAAAGGAAACAATAAAGGATGTTCCTTAAACAGAAGAAATATAATCTCAGATACAAGCTCACAAATGAAGAACAAAATTAAGAGAAAGGAAAGGTAAAAATGTGGGTAAATTTAAATAAATATTGACCGCATAAAATAATAACAATAAGATTTGATATATATAGAATTAAAATACATAATATATGTAAAGTTAAATGGAATAAGCTGTTCTGAGGTTCTTGTGTTGCTTGGGAAGAGGGTAAAACATATATTAGACTGTTGAATCAAGGATATATTCTGTAATCTCTGTTTTACACACTAAAAAAATAATTTAAAATGTTATAATTACCAAGTGACTAGAGGGGGCAAATAGAGAAAAGAAACAAAATCTAAAGGAAGGGGGCCAGCCTGGTGGCGCACTCGGTAGAGTGCGGCGCTTGGGAGTGTGGCAGCGCTCCCGCCGAGGGTTCGGATCCCATATAGAGACCGGTCCGCTCACTGGTTGAGCGCGGTGCGGGTGCGACACCGAGGGTTGCAATCCCGTTACCGGTCACGAAAAAAAGACAAAAAGGAAAAAGAAAAAATCTAAAGGAAGAATGAATGGGAAGAAAAAGAATACAAAACAGGCAAAGCACTTTCACAATTAGATGGTAGAGTTAAAATTATTTAAATATGTACAAATGGACTAAACACTACAAAAGACATGGACTATCAGATTGGGTAAAAAATGAACAGTATGCTACTTACAAATACATAAAATACAAAGAAACACATAAAATACAAAGATATGTAAATGGTGAAAGTGGACAGATGAAAAAAGATATCTCATACAAACAATAACCAAAAGAAAGCTGTTCTAACAATATTAATATCAAGCAAAACAGACTTCAAGGCAAAAACCACTAACAAAGATAAGAAACTTCATAATGACAAAAGGTCCAATATACTAGAAAGATGTA